CACAGTGTTGAAATGTTAAAGCTTATTCTTGAGCCAATAAAAAAGTCTTTCCTGGGATCACTTAAAATGAATACTTCTAAACATGTAAATATGCATCAGTACACGTTATACATAGGCCTAATAGAACACATAGGCCTAAGCGTGATTTTAAAAAATCTTAAATCCTTAAATCTCAGGCCAGGTCTTTTGAGATAGAAATGCGATACTGTGGTTCAATTTCGTTTTTATCCTTTTGCAAGTTTCTTTAAATGTTTGTTTAATAATACTACTACTAATAGTAATAATAATAATAACAACAATGATGATGATGACGATAGTAATAATTGATATTAATATTAATAACAATAAAAGTTGAAGAAAATTGTGCTAAATGCGAAAAAAAGTTGTGATTTGTTGATCATAATATAGTATATATAGTTAAAGCTTAGTAAGTTATAATTAGGCCGAAGTTGTCCTGGATATTAAGTAGGATCCCTGATAAAAGATCATGAGAAATTTGTTGGCGTTTCATTTTGACTGTAATGGTAATGTGATGATGATGAATTTTACTATATAAAAGTGTCATTTCCGGCCATCTCGACAGGTACTATTTCCTCATATTTTCTCACCTCAGCCCTAGCCATGATGGGCTGAGGTGGTTATGAAATCACGTATTTTAAGTTGCCCTATGTAAAGTACATATTCAAAGACAATGTTTTTAGCTTTTTTTTTCTATGTTTTTTTCAATGGTATATCACACACACATTAATAAGATCTCTATGGTTGTCAAAAATCCCTGATAAAAGATCATGTTTGTTTAATAATACTAATACTAATAGTAATAATAATAACAATGATGATGAGGACGATAGTAATAATTGATAATAATATTAATAGCAATAAAAAGTGAAGAAAATTGTGCTAAATGCGAAAAAAAGTTGTGATTTGTTGATCATACTATAGTATATATAGTTAAAGCTTAGTAAGCTATAATTAGGCCTAATAAAAGATCATGAAAAAATTGTTGGCGTTTTATTTTGACTATAATGGTAGTGTGATGATGATGAATTTTACTATATAAAAGTGTCATTTCCGGCCATCTCGAGAGATACTATTTCCTCAAATTTTCTCACCTCAGCCATGGTAGGGCTTAGGTGGTTCTGAAATCACGTTTTTGAAGTAGGCCTATGTAAAGTACAAAATCAAAGACAATGTTTTTAAGCTTTGTTTTCTATGGTATACACACACATTAATAAGATCTCTATGGTTGTCAAAAAGCCCTGATAAAAGATCATGAGAATTTTTTTTTGGTGCTTCATTTTGACTAATGGTCATGTGATGATGATGAATTTTACTAAAAGTGTCATTTCTGGCCATCTAGAGGTACAATTTCCTCAAATTTTCTCACCTCAGCTCCAACCATTGTGGGGCTGGGGTGGGTGTCGACTCACAAAATGCCCTCCCCCTCCACCTTTCAAAACAGATCTGTGCCCTTCCCTGGGTATGACATTAAACTCCA